ACTAGCCGAACGCAGCGCCGGTCTTCATTTGTCTTGTCCATGTGTACCTCTTTCAGCGTACACAAGAACGCCCGCAATTTTATCGTACTTGCGCTTTGCAGTCGAATAAATTAACTTTCGTCACAAACGTTTGGTGTCGTGTGCGGAGGTGCATTTGTTTACATTTATGTTGTTTTTAGTTTGCGTTGTTAGCTACATCAGAGTGCCTTTGCCATAAGATAACACATATGTAAACGAACAGAGAAAACGATGATTTCGTTCACTGTAAACAAAATATATGCACGGAAAAGCTGTCTAGTGTGTTACTACGCAACGACGGGGCAAATAGATTCAATATTTCAGCAAGGCATTATTTACCAGAATATTTAAAACTGAGAGTTTCACTCTTATTAGTTTAGTACTGAGAACCCTGCCCCGTGGCAACGTAGTGCGTGCGCAAAAAATAGGCACTTGTGGATTGCTGAAGGCCGCCAGATTATGAAGCATGTCATGGTACCTACTCGGCGGTCGGTAAATGAGAATAACGTATTTATGCCAAAAGTAACAACGGTTGGCCCATGTGAACAGTGGCCTACCGGCTTCTCCAAATGATCGTTCATTTGTTCCATTGAGTGCAGCATAGTCCATGCATGTGACTTATCAGCTTATATCTTGCTGCTTATATAGCCATTACATGTTCCCACTATACACGCGGGGAACGACAGTCAAGTACGAAAAAATGTCTGACACGGAAGCGTGCGTGAGTGAGTGCATTTGTGCTTGCAGTGAAGCGGATAACTGTGTGAGTATATATACTATAACCATAAAAATCATGCGTTGACTGGAGAACGCTCTTTGTGAGGCGCCATATGCCATCGCTACTTTGGGAGATGTATTCGGTCACCGTTTTCTTAAAGTCCCATCGCCTATGAGCCAACAGTTCCGCTAAATTATTGAAATGATTATATTATATAGAACTTCCTTGAACGTAAACTATCAAAGGTGTGAGCATAGCATGATGGTACAACAACGAAGTTTTCCCACTGTTGCGGCTTTTTGTGCAAGTTTTGATGTAACACTGATTTTCGCGTGTGCGCATGGTAGTAAAGGTAGCTTATAAACATAGATACCTGGACATAAGTCTGGATATAGACTTGGAAACCTGGAGACTTACAAAGAAAGTTCAACTGAAGTTGAGGATGATGCAGTGAGCAAATGAGAGGAAAATGATAGGTGTAACCTTAGAAGAGAGCAGGGTGGGTCAGAGAACAGACGGGTGTTAAAGATATTTTAGTCGAAGTGATGAAAAAGAAATGGACTAACGTATACAGAGTACTGAGCGAGTCGGTATTCATATTGAAGCGTAATGCAAGAGAAACGAGACACAATAAATAACACACAGAACAGGCGCTAACTGAGCACTTGTGAACTTTAATGAAAAGAAATCCGCATCTTATAGTTGGCAATAAGAGTTCACTGATATGACCTCACGTGAACATCCATGAAAAACCGAAGAAACAAAAACAAAACAGAATCAAACAGACTGTAACAACTTGCGTAAACAACTTGCGTAGAATCAGGAAACAGGGGTTATCTACACAACTGTTAGTCGAAGATATTTTTTTGAAGGCAGGCGTGCTCCGCTTCTACCCGGATGTATCGATGGGTTGTGCTCATCCAGATGGCAAGGGAAATGCTGCATTGGCTTGTTCTCCAACTTGGACCCAAACATTGCATTGAGCCTTCACTCGTCAAATGCCGGTCTTACCCGCTACGGTGGTCATGGTACTGCTTGACCGCTGACCCGCACGTTGCAGGATCGAATCCCGGCCGCTGCATTTTATATGGAGCCGAAAATACTTGAGGCCCGTGTACTTGAATTTAAGTGCACGTTAAGAAACCCTCAGATATTATTAATTCAATACGAGGCCCGCTGGCGTATCGCTACTACACTACGGGGGCCCTGGTTTACTTCGCCAGCATCCCTGGATTGGCTCACATTTGTTTTAAAGAGCGCAGCTGGATCGGCAAATGTTATGCGCATTAAAGTTGATTCACCATTTTAACCTTCAGTGAAGTAACCTTCTTCGTGAGCAAGTCCCGGGACGAGTATTAAAAATTCAAACGCATTTCATTTATTCTGATAGGGTTCGCGGTGTCTCAGTAACAGCACCTGGAAAAGCAACAGGCACCACACGTACCTGTTGCAGCGCGTGGCTTTCTGACGCGGCTCCCTCTCCTTAGGGAGAGAGGGTGCGCAGCTTCGCCTTTCTCCATAGTGGAGAGGGCGCGGCGCTGCGTCATAAAGCCGCGCGCTGACGCGCTGCAAAGCGCACGTGTGGTCAGACCTCAAGAAAACAAGAATGCTTATCCAGCACCCGATCCAGCCGTTCAGCATCATTTCCTTTAGCCCTTTCCTGCTCTCACCTATCCCTTCGCTTGTGCCTTGCAGTCTTGGGGGAGAGAACCCATCATGTAGCGCCTCGCAAGGGAAATCATATGAAGTCATTTTTCTTTCAGTTGTGTACAGATCCATGGTGGCGGCGTCTTGCATTCCTCGTGTTCACAATGTTGACAAATCATGCTGGCTCAGTAAAAGATACGGTGTTTCGTGATAGCGTGTATCGACGTACGTGGCCATATGCAGTAAACCAACGGGGAAAAGTCACTGTGACGCTGATGCATGCGTTGACGTTAAAAGCACCGTGAGGCAGTGGTGGCATTGCTTCTAGTCACAAAGAAGTATATAGTACGAAGGAACAAATCAGACAGACGCGTCACATTGGAGAGGGAAACACGTCTATGGCATCTCACAGGGAAACCGCTCGGCCACACGTGTGACGCAAGCAGCGCTACCCAGCATGTAGTTCGTATCACGACCACTCCCTGAACTAAGGCGGATCGACGGCTCCCGCTGAGGAGCGCGCGTTGGCACTGGCATTGAAAGAAATGAAGAAGGCGTTGGTTTATCTTGTCACCAGAGCCATGACTCGGCTGCAATGTCTGGTACGTTACTGCCCGGCACAGTATTTGCAGTGCTCGGCAGCTGACGCGGGTTCGATAACTACTATGACTGTGGTATTTCGATAAAAATGTTTGAAGACTGCACAATCATTGCTTGAAAAGCGCGTTAAAGAGCCCCAGCTGTTCAAAATTCCCGGATCGCTCAACTACGGTGATCCATCTTGATACTCAGACACGCAAAACACCAGAACTATTATTGATATGGTGACTTTACATAAAAGACAGCAGTAATGGGTACGCTATTTCGTAGCTACACATTTCTGATGCTAATTACGTAGTGGGTCATCAGTGGTCAGCGCAACAGCCCGTCTACATTAGTAACGATATTGACCAGCCGCGAGAGGTGGGTTGGAAGACTAATATAGAAGCAAGTGAAAGTTATTATCGCAAAAGAAAAAAAATAGCACTAAATACTGGCCAGCTTATTTTACTCTTGCAACATGCAGCATTTAGTGATAGTACACATAATCTTGATACCAGCTACAGTGACCGCGAGTCTATTTACGTCAGAGCAAGTGCATATGGCACCTTTAGGTGCCATATGCAGTAACTCTATAGTTGATGATGGCCAGTGAACACTGGCGACAAGCATGCAATGTGGACAAGGTGGACTTTGCAGATGGTGCAAAGTCCACCTGACCCGCAATTACTGGCCAAAGATGGCTTCCCCACACAAGCGACAAAAGTTCTGGTCTACATGTAGATGCGTGATCGGAGAATTATTAGTACACCTCTTCCGAAATCGGCCCACGAGAATGTACTTAAAAATGTGTAAAATGAGAGCTGCAAAAAATAAAAAAAAGAAGGAAAAGGGTGTTCACGCATATAGGTGTCAAATGTTTTTATCTTATTTTTTGCGAAGAGGTCATGCGATTTATTAATAAAGTAGCCGACTTGAGTAGTAGGTTGTAAATACTCAAGACATACAGCGCAAGAAAGCACGACCACGGAATGAAAACGCACAAGACGGAGCTTGTCCTGTGCGTTTTCTTTCTGTGGCTGTTTTTTTTTTTCGCTGTTTATCGTAAGTATCGAGGAATGGTGTGTGATGTCATTTTGTTTGGTAATGTAAAAAAAAAACACTGGGCAGTTCGCACTTAGTCGCATAAAGCTTGGCACAGCGAAGCACGGGCCCGTGGCCGCTCGGTATCTCCCTGTCGACGTACACGCCGAGGTTGGATGTGCGCGGCTTCCTCGTGAGTACGCACTTTCTTAGGACACTTCATGACCCTCAGCACGTGATCGGGCGCAGTCAGACTATGCATGCTATGGACGCAATGTCTTCCCTCTGTGGGCACGTCTTAGCTATTGCACATGCACGGCTTGGCCAGGTTATGCGGTATCTCGTCACTAGACAGCTAGATGACGCGATGATCGATTTTTTTCTGCCTACTACTTCCTCTTTCTTTTCCTGAAGTTTTTTTCTTCCTATCTAATTCTCTTTTACTTCCCCTTTTCATGGTACGATTTAATCTTGTACCTCCTTTCCCTCCTCCCCACCTTTACTTTCCTGTCCCACCCCCTTACTGCGCTACACAAGGCTGTGCTAAGGTCTCCTAGCGTGCCCGGATAGTCGAATGATTCGGACGATTGTCTTCAGATCAAAGGTTCGATTACCGTCTCGCGAAGAATTTTTAGTATCTTTTTTTTGGTACTCGTTCTCACCCATTAGGGGTTTTCACAGGCAACGACGCAGTAGCGGCTTTGCCCAAATCCTGTTGCACATGCCCGTTAATGCTTAACGTATCCGGGCGTAGTCACACACACTTGATCACGCCGAGCTAGAACAGCTTTGCTGTTAAAAAAAGGCGAAGGAATGACCTTCCGTGATGAGTGCTGTAATGCGAGAATAGTGTCTGCCACACTCTGACCGGAATACACCGGCAACAGCACGAGAAGGAGTGCGCGATAGAGTCGTACACAAAAGTACAGCGATGCCCTCGACATTGCGGCAGCACGCGCATATAAACCAAACGAAAAACAGAAAAACGTAGCTATATATACGTGTATAGTTCCAAGATGTATCACGGCGTGGCTTTATTTACATCATAAATAGTTATTTACAGGGTGTAGATTTTATACAAAGCAATGGTATGACATGGATCACAACATACGGTACGTGTGCCTCTCGAGAAGCGTGGAAAGGAGCAAGTGGATGTGGGCACCACGCAGGAGAGGGCAACTGGAGTTCACCTGGGGCGACAGACTCGGACGCCGCCCACCATGCAAGCACTGAGGCCGCGCCCCCTTGTCGCTGAAAGTTCCGCTGAGTGATGACGATACTGCTGCACACGATTAGCTATTAGTGCAGACCACAGGATCAGTGCGCCGTGGGAGTCGTCAAACACACGAGCCAGCGTGTCACTTGACGCACTACATAACGGAGATGACCGGTGGAGGAGCCTGGAATGCTGGTACAATGGGTGCGCAGTAGGCGGCGCAGTTCGTGGACGGTCGCACGGGCGCAGCAGTGGGCTGCGGCCGCACGTTCTTCTCCACCGGGATACTCTTGTAGTCAGGCTGCGGTTTGGCCACCAGCACGGTGCAGCGGAACTCCTGGGGCATGGCGTAGCGGATGACCGGTGGCCCAATGAAGCCTCTCTTGGCCTCCTTCGGGTAGACGAGGACGTGGCACAAGCCGAACATCGGCAGGATGAGCAGCGGCAGGAAGGCGGGGTGCACCGCCACTGTCAGGTACGTGCCCAGCACGGCCAGTGAGGTCAGGACCCCGGCACCCAGCACGGTCCAGGTGGACAGCCTGGTCTCGCTACTCTCGCTGGCCATGAAGCACGGCATCTGGAAGTAGACGAACGGACTCTGTTGCAGTTGGTTGCCTTGCGAAAAACGCGAGACCCTTGCTCTTGCTGGTCACAGCCCGAGACTGGCTGTACCAGCAGCAAAAGAGGCTGCTGTCGACAGTGCACCTCGTCGCGAAGTGTTTGAAAGCAAATGAAATCAATGCTCTGTCTGTAACAGAAGCTCTAATACAGATGGGAAATCACGTGACTACGATAGCCACCGAGGGTGTGATTCGCTCTATTTTATCAATGCCAGTCAGATGCTTCCGATCTAGCCGTTCACCACCCCCTCCTCTGGCCCTTTCCTGCTCTCTCCCATCACCTAGCCTTCGCGAGTGCTTTGCTGTCATGGGGGGAGAACTCATCATGCAGCGCCTTACGACGGGAATAATATAAAGTAATTTTTTGTTCGTTTGTGTACAGATTCCTGGAGGTGCGTCTTGCATTCCTCGCGTTGATAATATTGGCTGTCACGCTGGCTCTGTAAAAGATACGGTGTTTTCAGATTGCACTGGCATTGAAAGAAATAAAGGAGGCGCTGGGTTGGTGAACCGGCCTGCGATCGGAATCGTGCGCAAGGGTCACATTCCAAGAAATTTGTCACGCAATAATCCCTTTTTCTCACCATTTTGTAGAAAGAAACAAGTCGCCCAATCCACTGGAAAATGTTAATTAGCGACGTTGTTTCTGAAATGCAGGTTAATCTGCATGTTAACAAAATTGGGCAGCAAAATAGAGAAGATACATGGTACTAAAAGAAACTAATTGTAGTCCACGAGAAAGCTTTAGACGCACAACCATTAGGTAATAGCCGTAGCCCGGAAGCACTGGCCGCTGGGTCACCGAGGAGGAGATTTTACAATGCACCCAAGGGGCAGTAACGTAATCACATAAATAAAGTAGTTCGCGAATAACGTCACAGGGCTTACATTGCGATGCCTAGCTTTCCGCCTTCGACGGTCTAGTAATCGTTTAGATACAAAACTAGACACCAAAGAAATATTTCTGAAGCGTTCAAGGAATGTTTAAGAATCACTTTGCACAAGTGCAGTCGAAATTAGTTTTATATGATAACCTACGATTCTAGCGATCGTTAAGGGCAAAACACATATTTGTAGTCTACGTACTTGCGACCAATTTCTTGCAGCGTACTTTGTGTCACTGTGAACAACGACGACTTAAGCAACGGATGTGAAAGACTGAAGCATTCGCAAGTGAGTGTAGCACACTTAACCGACACTGCACCAGTGGGCATATCTAGTGAAGCTGGCCAGCTTCGTAAGGTTACAGGCTACACACACGAAAAAAAAACGCCTATATTCACCACTTCTTGTTACGCAAGGTCAACGCCAAAACAGGTCGTATGTACTCGCTGTGACCAAATATATTCACGAGTCGCTATACACGAACACAACAAACAGTATTGAGCAGCATGTGCGCATGACCGTGCTACCAATTCGTGAAATAGCTCCTAAATGCGAACATAATAGGGAGTTCCCGGTTAGCCCCGCCCGCTAGCCATTTCCATCACTTAACGGGAGCTCGCAAATGGTTAGCGCACAACGCATGAGCAGTGGCGCGAAACGCTAACGCAAAGCTTTGCGTGCGCTATTGAAAAACTCCTCAATACGTTGCCCATGCAATCGTAACCGCATAATGAGTCGCTGAAATGACGTAGTTCAGTAAGAAAAGGAGCCAGTAGTTATCCTGTGTAAGAGTATGCACGCCCGTAACGAACTAGATATCATAATCTCACCTCGCGACGACAGTTCCCGACAGCTCGTAATTACGACCGAATGCAAAGAAATAAGGAAGGGCAGATCGCAGTGGTCCGCTTCTCCATATTTCTTTGCTTCGGTCTCAGATGACGTTTGCCCCAAGTTGAGTATTTCTTTTACATATATTATGCGACACGCCACGAGAAAGTACCCACTGACCTCGGAGGTGGCGGCGGAAGCCTTCGTCACCGACGGTGGCGGTTGACAAGGGTCATGCGTTCGCAACTTGCGGTCTCCAAGCGAGTGTCTGAGTCGTGGCAGTGGCGGGCGGGCTATATACGCGGCGGCGCGCACATGGTTCTGGGAGCACCAGAGCGAGCCGGTGATAGCACGCCAGTTCTAACTAGACCCCGTAAAAACGGCAAGGGAGATTGTTTTAAAGGGCGCCCTCGGAGCTCGCGCGCCCTCCCTCTCAGCAGCGCAGAAAGAGATAGCAGCTGAAATCTTCGCGTAGGACCGGACTGCGCCGGCAACCCTTGCGAGAGCAATCTACAACTTGAGCGACTGAGCCGACGACGTGACGCGGCTCTGGCTTCGCTAGCAAGGAAACAAATGGCGCGTGCAAGTTTTGATATGTGTGCCGCTGCTACGTGAGCGTGGAAAGAAAAAAAAGGGGGGGGGGTGAGAGGGTGTGGTTTTTAAGTCAAGTCTAGGAGGGGCTATACCTGGGGAGGCAAAATGGGCACATAGTTCCAGCAACTTTCTTGAAGAGACAACGTGATCAAACTGTGTCCTAACATAACGTCTGACCTCTGCGCGCGACAACAATGCATTCCCCTCACTGCAGGCAATTCCGTCTGAGCGCAGGCGATATGATAGTCCCGTGAATTCGTGGACGATGGAAGAGATGACACATATTTCTTCGCAGCAATAGTCGCGCCATACAATAGAATGCATGATTATGTGCATTAGAGCGAGTCAAGCTAGTGACTTGAGAAGTAATCGTAATCGGCGGTCGGTAACACATGAAGGCATATCTCGTCTACGCAATGACGTGCGAGCTCACGTTCCACAAGCGCATGTGCTACGGACATCGAGGTTCCAGGTAGCCGGCGGCTGTTCCAAGGTTCGTGCTTTCATTGATTCTGCCACACAGCAGCGTCCGTGAATCTGTGTTTGGGTGGCCTACACCGAAAAGGTAGAGGATATAACTGCATGGCCACGATGAAAGTGACCCGGTTTGTGTAGTACTTAAGCGATAACTCAAGATGCAGAGAAACAAGACGTGGGTAAATTAGCAACGCAACGTCTACATTTCACGCGTGTTATGCTAGATGTCATATATGTATCTGCAAGTACACCTTTCGCCGTCGAAACAGTAGCCTGCATGCGCGAGATGTATGCCGTGCAAGTACGAGCTTTCTGGGGTGACCGCTAGTTGACGACAGCGTGAGCATTATACTACAAACGTGACTATGGTTTCTACAAAACCTAGAAGTATTGTAATCTGTCCACTTGGTCCGCCAACCTAGTGAGAAAATGCCTATTTATTGCATTGTATTGTGTTTGGTTGCCATGCGCACCGAGATACTCAATTGATATTTTATTGCGCGTAGTTAATTAGTTAGACGTAATTATAATTTGCTACAGCGATCAGTGGCCAGTCGACATATGCTTCCCGGATTCTATTAAATACTTGGAACTCATAGTCGTGCCTCTTATCAGACTAGATTTATTGAACTCACTCATGTCTTTCGCTGTCTGCAGTAAAACTTATTCCACACTTTATGAGCTTCAATTTCCTCCCTCAGTCTTTAACACGTTGCCTAAGCGAGGAAATGCAACTATTCCAACTCCCGGGGAGTGCTGTTTGTGTCTTTATAAAACAGACTTCTCAATAACAAAAACGTATCTCAAGCTTTCTCTAAACACGACGAAGGAGCAGAGTTTACTACGACAAAGATAAGATTGCTGCTGGCATCAGTCGGACTGTTGGGGGTCGAGTCAGACTGCGCACATGCTCTCCTTGAGCGACGTCAGTTTACAGTCGCTCACATCGCGACATCGGTGTTATTCGCGTATAAAATCTTTCAACGAAAGTCATTTTGTGTATACATCGCGAGAAGTACTTTGCTTTTGTATCCACGACACCTGGCCGAACTGACCACGCATTCTCCAAATATCAGGCACCATGCTGGCATAAGAAAAAAAAAAAGGCAGCATATCCATGGGGTGAATGATAGAGATTGGGGTGAAGCATCCGTACGTTCATTTGTTCTTGCTTCCGCCCATCCATGCGCCCGTCTGTGTGACCGTCCCTGCATTCCTCCATGCATCCGCCCTTGTGTCCATCCATCAGTCCGTGCAGCCGTCCATGCCGTCCATGCATCTGTCTGTGTGTCCGTTCGTCCATCTCCAAGTACCACCATCTTGCATCTTTTCAACATATATTCCGCATATAGAAGCATCGCCATCCAGCGGACATTCCAAGGACCAAACGAGAGGTGGCACACGCACACTTTCGTACGGCTTGCGCTTCGTGTCTACTTCCCACCTTTAACCACCTCGAGTTCACGGTATATAATAGTTCACTGTATTCATGGCACTGCGGCAGAACGCTCGCTAAACCTTTCGAAAACCAAGGAGGTTACGCCCAGCGAGTATGACGTAGCAAACTTTTTCAGTCAGATAGTGCTCAATGTACATGCCAATGGCTGATAATGGAGAAAGAGACAGGAGAACACGGCTTTTAGTTAACGCGCACGCTGCGAATTTTTTATTGTTCAACAACGCACAGGAGAAATCTCCCACTGGACCACCTTGCATGTCAAGACGTAAGACATGTTACGTACTACGACGAGGGACGAACGGGTGCCGCTTTAACGAGTTTCGCCCCGAAAAAAATCCATTAGGCGCGACACGAATGACTGAGCCGGGCAAGGTGTGGAAATGTGTCACGTCGTGTCTCAAATGGCTCGAGAGGGCGTTGCAAAGTTTGAGTGTCACGTACTTGCCTTTTTTTTTCTTCCTCAGGCGGGCTAGCGTGGTCTTTTAGGAGAGAGCTGCGAATCTGCTTCTTTGTCTTTAGCGGTATTTTATTTGTTTATATGAATAGTAACTGCTATAACACTTGCCACTGTAACCATTGCTTCTGCAAATGCATGCTGTTAACTCTGGCAAAATAAAGTTGAAGAAACGAGGTGAAACTTGGGAATTTCGCGAATTTTGGAGTCATTAATTTTTAAGCACATCCTTTTCGAAAAATACGCCGGCTCTAGTGTCCGTGACTAAAAATGTCATCGGGCCAAGAGTGATACTCCGATAGCACTAAGCGCTCTGAAAAGCACAGTTATGAGTGGCATACTATGCACACGCGCTGAAAGCACTCTTTTATATGGTGCCAGGTGGCAGCTGTGTTCAATGAAAACTTTTTCTGCGTTTCAGTAGCAATACTGGCGACACGTCAACGACAAAGTATCACTGCAGTGCTGTCGTGTTTATTTTTTATTTTAAAGCTGTTTCAGCAAACTGGGGAAGGGGGGGGGGGGTCGTGTGCTACTGATATGGGGTGTGTAGGACGGCCGCATGATGCTGACCGACCGAAGACTCAACCAGGCGTTTCCTTCGTACCCGGCGTAACATGAAGCCATGTTGTCGCGGAAAATGACAAGGCGTTGCAGAAAGCCCCCCCCCCCCCTTCCTGAAAAAAATGGGTATACACACACACATACATATATAGTGAGAAGCGTGACAGAGTACATGTCCTACGAGTGGCCTCAGTTGCACCCGACACCAGCGCAGTTCGCGTGGTTGTGTATCGCACAGCGAAGATGAGATTTGTTGGCCCCGGCCCTTATCATTACTGGAGCTCGGTGCGGCCGATGGCGGTTTACTTTTGCACGCGCGCCCACTGTTTACTTGCGAACAGCCGCCTCGACGGGGTCAAGACCAATACGAGGCGTCGCATGAGCAGTCGACGCTGCCCATGGGCGAAATCCACGAGTTAGTATATGGATTATCAACAACAAAAGTTTGCGGGATGTTGGATCCACAAAAAATTCGAATTTATGCTGTATCAGTGCTTAATGCTTGTAATCAAGCTCGTTACTGTATAGCTCGGTATCCCAAGTGCAGTATGGAACATCTATTTCGAAATCACATTCCTAGACCATGCGGAAATTTCGCTTTATCAGCATTCTGTGTCCCGCAAACTATTGTTGTTTATAATATACGTGGTCATTGACCGTCAGCAAAGCATGTCTGCGTAATTGTAAACCTCTCTTTTTTGTATTTAGTGGAAGTCGCGTGACTGAAGCCTTCATGGACAAGGAATATGCAGACAACTCATATTGACGCTCTACACTCTTTGAAAAATGTTAGTAAAAAGGTAGCAACTGCAAGGAGACAGGTAGGAACTGCAGCGCTTACTGCATTTCTCGAAACATCACTACCCTTTTGCAACTTGTTCACTACATACGTTAGTAAACAGTACTAGCTGCAGCCGTTACTAACTTTGTGCGACCTTTTTACTACTTATGTTAGTAAACAGTCAGTAACTGGAATGAAAGAGGTAGCAACTGCATTCGTTACTACCTTCCTTGCTCCTTTACTACCTTTTTTCTATCCGGCTGTTGACTATTTAATCCAAAACAGTGTGCGATTCCGATAATTTATGAGAGGAATTGTCTCGACGTATCATCATTAAACGAAAAAATGACGCAGGAGATGTCCATAAATCAAGAAAAAATTGTTTTAAATTACGCAACCGAAATGTGTAAACGTCATTCTGGTATTGTCGAAACGAAGAAGTACAAGTTAACAAACCACAAGCAAGTGCTACACGCGTTGTAATAGACAATTATAACAACCTCAGTAAATTACAGAAAATTAACAAGACCAGCGGATCAAAATAACAAGACGGTCACAATTAATGCGGAGGATGGTCACAATTAATCCACTGCGGCGTTTGTCCAAATATTATTGTTGTTTTGGCACGTCAAACCCCCCCCCCCCCCCTAAATGATTATTACCTATTAACCGCTGATATACTAACTGTGTGAAGCATGCCCCGCCGCGGTGGTCTAGTGGCTAAGGTACTCGGCTGCTGACCCGCAGGTCGCGGGTTCAAATCCCGGCTGCGGCGGCTGCATTTCCGATGGAGGTGGAAATGTCGAGGCCCGTGTTCTCAGATTTGGGTGCACGTTAAAGAACCCCAGGTGGTCGAAATTTCCGAAGCCCTCCACTACTGCGTCTCTCATAATCATATGGTGGTTTTGGGACGTTAAACCCCACAAATCAGATCAACTGTGTGAAGCATCCAAATGCACTGCCGTTCTTCACGTGACATTGGAATTTGTTGCTGTAGCATGCATTCTTTCGCCCTTGTGCCAAAA